AAAGTAATAATAGGCAATTATATGATATTATATAATAAATAATATTTTTTTTTTTAATATTTAAAGATAGCAGTCTTAAAATTAGAATAGTTTTAAAATAGTTTTAATTTTTTGTATTTGTCTTATTACTAGTTTAGTAATTCTCTTAATAAAATAAAAAGCAAAATTACCTAAGTATAAAAAAAAAAATTAATAATATAACTAAAATATAATAATATAATAATAATAAAAATACACACTCAATCTGCTGATCATCTAAACCAACACAGAGCAAAGACTTTATTATATAAAATTATTTATAAAACTTAAAGAAATTTAGTAAAATTTTAGTATTAAATAGAAGTACAAGTTGTATAGTCTAATAAGTCTTACAAGGCAATAAGAGGCAGAAAGATCTAGCAGATGACAATATTAAAATTTTAGCTGAAAGTTTACTTTATAGAATATTCAAGTCAAGAAGTAAAGATATAAAAAGAAGTAGAAGAGAAGAAGGAGTTTAAACTAATAGTATTCTGTACTAAAACAGATACTATACCTTTCATTTATTCTGTGAATAGTTTTTGCAGCAACCTTATTAGATTCTTTAACCAATACAAATGAATATATTTTTTGTAGCTTTTTGCTAAAGAAAAGTAGAGAATTAGCTTATTTCTGATAAAGAATCAACAATGATACTACATCCTAATTAGAACAGATGATATATTAGAACATTAACAATAACAAAATAACATACATAATTTTAGCTAGTCATATATCTGTTATATTATAAATATGAAAATAAATTAGAGTTAATTTGAGATAGATAGTATTTGTGTTGATACTATTTATAATTTTTACTACAGATAGTATTTCTGCTATGCAGTTATACAGTTAACTTTAGCTTCTCTTGTTTTTACTTTTTCTTATATATGCAATACATGCTCTAGAGTAGTCCATTTTTTGCATATAGTATCTTTAATTTTTACTTAGGATTTTCTTTTTTTTTATTTTGTTCAGATTTTATTTTTGCTTTTCTTTATTACTCTTTTATATATTACCCATTTCTTTTTCTTTAAAAAAATTTTTTTTCTATTTTCCTTTTATGAAAGAATATTATCAGATTGGTGGTCTCTAATTATAGGGTAGTAGTGAAATCTTAATAGGCACATAGTAGCTTTCTGTAGATTAAGAGAGAGTGGCTTTGCTTAGCAAATCTCTCTTTTAGGAAGAAAATTTACTATTGTGGCTAATCATATCTGAGCACCAAATAGTAGCTGAGTGAGTCTAAACTTGATAGTAAAGGACAATTATAAAGCTAGCTTAGTATAGTTTTTGTTTTTGTTTTAACATATGTATATGTTTTCTCCTAATAAAAAAAAGGCAAGATTACCTAAGCAGAAAAAAAAAATAATAATAAAAATAACTAAAAATCTATTCTATAACACTTCCTTTAAATGAATTATCACAATGATATGATATTCTATTTGACACTATTGAGAATCTATCTTCTGTATTTTATGTTACTTGTGATATATTGAAAAGGCTATGCTACTTGTAACAGAATAAGATAATTAAAACTCATTTTATAACACTCTTAGTAAAATAAAAGATAAGATCATCTAAAATTAAAAAAAAATAAAAAAATAAAATCTAATAGCAAAAAAAACTATCTTTAAATATTAAAAAAAAAAATATTATTTATTATATAATATCATATAATTGCCTATTATTACTTTACTAATTTTAGTATAATTAACAATCTAAACTAAATATATATTATAATTTTCAAAGCCTTATTTTTATAAAGCCTCTAAAATAAGGTAACATGTTTTAGAAGTAATGTTTTTTATTATCATAAAGTAGTTTGAATCAATGATTTATCTTTAATTTTGAGACAATATTTTATTCATCCTAGTTTCGACAGGAGCTAAACCGCTCATGTCCTGTACGCTGCTCTCCCACCTAGTCGTAACACCATCCCTAATCAGATATAATAATTTTGTCAAAAATTGCTTTTTCTCAAAGGTTTGTATAAGAAACTACCTTTTGCACTCTAATTAAAAGTTTTTCTTAAGCGAGTTTACTACAAGTTACTCTCGTTATAGTGAAGTGATCAGGCTGTAAAAAAAAATCTTCATATAGTTTATATCGAGAGAATACTATATAAACTTTATTATATCGAGCGAAGAGATAATAATAAATTTTTAAAAAAATCTTCACCATATCAAAGATCTTTACAGATCGACTAAGCTACTCGCTTAGTTCATCATTACTAGTTTTAATCGCTATTAAACCGGTTAATTGGATTTATAAATTCACAACACGTTATAAATTATATGTTAACGAATGTAGATCATGATATTTCCCAGATTTACAAACCCGCTCTAGGATCTTGAATTTTTCCTAATCAGAATTTTCAGATTTTTAAAAAAAATTATTGGATGTTTCGCACCAATAACAGTCTCATCTGGCTTTGAATTTAATATGCTTGACAGCCTGAGCCCCTTCGGAGCCAAGGTTAGCACATTAAATTCAAAGCCAGATGCTTCTTTTATTTGTCAGGTGAAATAATCGTCCTGTGATCCGTACCTGCCAAATAAAAGTTATTAGATGCTACGTAATAATGTCAGGTCAAGGGTAGCTACCCTCCTACGTCATATAAAATTTGGGTAGCTACCCCAGTTACGGCTATGACGTATGTTATTTCATGTTCTAATCAGTGTTTGAAAGCTGAAAATTTAAAATCTTGTATATTAGAGAACACCCAAAAATTGACTCTAAAAATACAAAATATAATGTGAGAACAGTAGCCCAGTTCCAGATTTCAAACACTGGTTCTATTGTCCGCACCTTTAGTAATAACTATATTGTTCTAGACATTAAAGATTTTACAATTTAAAGTTTATTCTGAATAATATAATAAGCAATAGACTATTTTGAAAAGGAAGAAATAAAAATAGATACGGTACACTAACCAAACCATTAATTCAAAATTAAATATCAAAAAATAATAAACTACGTAGACTTTAGTAAATAAAAATAACTATATAACTACTATATAACTACTGTATATACAGTAGATCTGTTATTGATTTCAAAAATATATATTCGTATTTTACTATAAAAAGACAATCAGATATAACGCATTTGCATTACGTATGAACTTGAAATGTTTCAGAACATAGACCAGCTTTAGACCATAAATTTTAGGTTACACATGGAACAATTACTAGTATTAGCTTAGCGCCACAAATAGAAAGCCCTTCCTTTAAGCTTAAAGGTTTTATGTTCTATCGACTGTTCTCAAACATTACTTTAACGTCAATAAAATAAATGAGTCAACATTACCCACCTCCACCTCCGCCTTCACAGCCCTATTATTCTCAAACAGATACAGATCAGCAATATTACCCTCCTCAGCCAGGAAGGTATTCTCCGGTTCCGCAATCTCAACCACCCGCATATGATCAGGGATCATTTCGTGGTTCGGTAGCAGAAAAATGGAATCCAAGACCAAAATACCAAGGCATGTGAATCTTTGATTATTTTTAATGAAATGTTAGAGTTATATGTAGCATTTTGCGAATAATATATGTAAAATTTTAGATTTATGGGCCCTTTTATTGTTTCTTGCTCATTTTGTTGGTTTTGTGGTTCTTAGTTATATTGGACTACATTGGCTTATAATTAATGAGGCACTGAAGAAGGGGAACAGTTTTTTTCAGCCTGAAATAATTCCACCATTAGTTATTGCCGGAGCGGCTGGAATTTTATTGAGTGTTATTTATTTGCTTTTAATGCAAAGGTTCCCGCAACCACTCATTAAAGTAACATTAGTTCTGTCAATTGCAATGTATTTTGTTGCTGCTGCTATTTTTTTCCTTGATCGTTCTTATTTCTTGGTAAGTTTACTTTATATCTTATGCATATGATTTTTTCGCGTTTAGTTTATAAAGATCCCTAATAAACAATATCAAAAATTTAGTCAATTATTTTTGTAATTTTTGGAATATTATATTTGATATGCGCCTTTAGCTGGCGTAATCGTATTCCTTTCGCTGCTATTATGTTAGAGACAGTTGTAAGTATCACAAGAAAATATTATGGTGTCATTATAATGGGTTTTATAGGGTTAATCTTTCAGGTGGGATGGTCTGTCTTGTGGCTTTTGAGTCTGATTGGAACGTAAGTTTATAATATTGTTTTAATCTTATCTAATTTAAAATTGTATATAAATTTCGCTAATATATCTGTTTGCTTCTAGTTATCAGTATTTAGATGCAACTTATTGTACTCAAGGTGTAAATGGTCAAAAGACCTGTAAAAATACTGGTCTCTTCTACCTAATATTCGTGTATTTATTATTCAGTTTCTACTGGACAAGTCAAGTTATAAAGACTATTGTTCATGTTACTTCATCAGGAGTTTATGCAACATATTACTTCCTTGAAGGCACACCTCAAGGAACGGGCTCTACTCCGACTCTCAGCTCATTTAAGCGTGCAACTACAACCTCTATAGGTAGTATTTGTTTCGGAAGTTTAATCATTGCGCTCCTTAATACTACTAGAGCAATTTTGCAAACTTTTGCGAATAGCGATGATGGTGCTTGCGGTTTTTTGGCTGTCTGTATTGCATGCTTGTTAGCATGGATTGAATCCATTGTCGAATACTTTAATTTTTATGCTTATGTTGAAGGTGAATTTCTAATATTATTCATTATAAAGTTATATATATATTACCTTCAAATTTAATTTAATTATACATTTATTATCTCTAAATAGTTGCAATGTATGGTAAATCATACTGTCAAGCTGCTAAAGATACATGGACTTTGATCAAGGATCGTGGTGTTGAAGCTATTATCAATGATGATCTTATTGGAAATGTGTTGACCATGGGCTGCCTCTTAATTGGTCTTCTTTGTGGATTATTTGGATTTCTTTACTTAAAATTTGCTATATCCAGTTCATCGATTAATTCAAATTTAATAATCGTATTTGTTATAATTTGTGTCATACTTGGCTTTATGATGAGTGTAAGTAGGACTTTAAATATTATTAAAATATTAACTCCCAAGCAAAAATATTTATTGTATTTACGTAAAATTTAAATAGGTTGTTATTACCGATTCCATTCATTCTGGTGTCTCAACTACTTTCGTTGCTTTGGCTGAAGATCCAGATGCACTAAGAAGAACTAAGCCTGTATTATTCGAAAGAATTCGACAGCGATGGCCCCGTATTGTTCAAGGGATTTAATATATCAACTTATATAATTAAATTTATCTTAAATACCAGTTGTATCGAATAGATAGTATTTACGGTTGGCAAGGATAAAAAAGGGTTTTATATTTCAAACATTGTTTAAGTTAATAATACTATGTGTGAAGTTATTTATGTTATGAAAGTTTAATTATTAAATAGCAGAGATAGGGATTAGTACTATTTCATGTTTAATTATACTTTTAAATAAAATTACTATCCCTATTAATTTTACATTCAACGAGTCGAAATAGACAGATGATAGCCGAATCGACAAAACTACATTTTTACGAAATTACATCGTAACTTACATTCAATAGCAATGTGTACGTACTAATTACTAATTGATCAACATCGGCCTATATTAAATAGGTTTTGATGTTAGGGTTATATTAGAAGTTAGAGGCAAATACTATACCAAATTATGTGTAGAATTTTTTTTCTTAAAGCACCAAGAGCAGTTTCATAGGCAAAATTTTGAGATAGAAAATATTTTTTTCTTAATTTTGCCGATCAACCTATCACACACACATTCCGGACTTGCCATTCAATATAGTATTGTCATGTGATCATCTCACCAACGCTATCGTATTAATTTTATATTTACCAGTAGGGTACCTGGCACACATAAATTTATTTGGCATACCAAATGGCATGCCTGTGCCACTTTGCACTATGTTTTTTACTAATAAACTATTTTGTCTTTGTGCCATGCCATAGGCATGCCACCATATGGCATGCCTATTTACCAGGCACTAAAAAGCTTAGTCAGCATTAATCACATGATCAAAATTACAAGAACATGATTTCAAAAAATCACTATTTATTCCCTGGGGTGATAAAAATAAGCCCGGGGAAATAATTAATAAGAAAAAATAAAATAAAATTTGTGATTAAATAACTTCAATTTCCAACCCAATCGAAACTTTGCGGTTAGATCATTGTCAATATTAGTTGTTCTAGAAATTATGAAGGTAATTCTGGCCTAGCCGACTATGGTTGGGTCATGATACGGGGTCATTAATAGAGGCCTGTGTCAGACCGAATTTAAATAGTAAAAATTCGGCCGGATCTGTCAAAAGTGTACATAATAAAAATGCAGCCGAACCTGTCAAAACCTATATTAGATTTTAAATTATGCATGCCTGTCATTAAGTGACATCTCGATTTTACGTTGTTGCATAACAAACGCATGTTGCGTAACGAACGCTTTTCACATTATAATATGTTGCAGCTGAAGCCGAGAATTGGGGGTCTCTATTTGAATGTATAAACTCTATTACAACTCACTTTATACTTTTTATTAATAATTCTAACTCTATAGCATACGTGCTAAATTTTATATGTCGTATTGTAGAATACTAGAGGAATTAAAAAGATGGTTGGATCAGTGCATCCGATAGATATAACTCCGCTTTGCAAGATAAATACTACTTATCAAAATAAGATTAAATTTGTGTATGCAAATATTGCTAAGGTAAGCTATTTTCACTTGGTAATATCTATTTTTAATATTTGTCTAATTTTATTTTATTTTATTTTTTATAGAGATATTTAATTAATCTTCAATTAATTAAGAAGAAGTCAGTTGACTACATCGTAGATCAGATAAAAAATGGAAGGATAATCACA